GCCGGCACCCGCTTGAAGCCTTGCCGGAGACCGCCTTTCTTCCCCAGCCCTCTCCAGCCTTTGATCCCATGGCACGGGTCTAACGCACTTCCTGTCGGTTTCTGTCTCTCCTCCCCCCCTTAGAATGTCGGCTCCTGGTCAGGGCGTTGGTCAGGGCTGGCTCTGAGCTATTCCCAGCCCGAGGATAGTGCCAGAACACAGTCAGCAATCACGAAACACAGGCACTCCCTGACTCACCGTGGGGCCGGGTCTCATAAACCCATCAGAAGTCGAAAATACCCTAAGTTGAAACTGCATTGAAGACACTGAACCTAGCAAACATCACAGTGAAGCCTGGCCTGCCGTCGATGTGCTCAGTCACATGAGCCTATAGCGGGGAAAATCATCCGACACAAAGCCTGTTTATGATGACATGCTGGAGATCTCACAGAACTCACCGAATGCGCCAATGAAAGCGAAAATCAGAATGGTGGTGGGGTTGGACCTGACTGGTCAAAAATACAACCCTAACCCTAACACTAACCCTCACCCTTACCCTAACTAACCCTAACCCTAACCCTCACCCTAAGTCTAACCCTAACCCTAACCTTAACCCTAACTCCTACCCTAAACCTAGCCCTAACCCTCTCTGGGCCCGCCTCTGGGTCCTCTCTGGGTCCGCCCCTCAACAGCGCCTGCTGCAGAATGAGGAACCGGGGCTGACGTTCTTCCGGTTCTGAGGTCTGCGGATTCGACCCCCATGGGGCTCAGGTCTCGGCCCCTAAGCCAGGCGTGCTGCCCGCTCCACTAGATAGTCTCATGAGACTGGCAGGTAGCAGGTCAGGGAGCCCCTTCCTTCCTTGAAACGCCAGAGGGATGAAAGGGGAAAAGGGAAAAGCCACTTTTGACCCAGTCCCAGGGCAAGAAGCTCCGTCCCAGAGGATAGAGGCGCTGTCTTCTGCACTCCCTCCCAATGGCACCCGGGCCGGGCCCTGGCAGGGCGGGACAAGCAGAGATGAGCACGTCCCACGGGACTCCTCGGGGGGGACCCAGAAGCTGACACGAAATGCCAAAGCCACAGGCAGGGATGGGGGTGGCGCAGCCCCTACTGGGCCCCCACCCCGTGCTGCCTCGGTTGCTAGTTCTGGAGTGTTTCTCACCCATCTCCCAGTGGTCCAGACCACCCTCAGTGCCCATTCTCTCAACCCCCACGTCCATCTCATGTGCTGGGATTTGAGGTAAGGATCCTATTCCCCTCGGAAGTGTTGGGTCTTTTCTAGGGTCCTTGGGGTGGGGCTCCAGTTGGCCAGGGTGTTTGTGTTCTGCGGACACACCTCCAACCCCTGGGCGTGGGGCGTGGGGCACCTCAACAGCGAGAACAAGACTTCCAGGGATAGGACTGTGGGACCCCAGCAGAGCAGGCTTGGGGTTCAGAGCTGGGAGGAGGGAGGGGTCCACACCACCTGTGCCTCCCCCGGGAAAGGGGGCCTCATCCTCTAAGACCCAAGGCCGCCTCTTGTAACAAAAAAGCAAAACCATCCCTTCTTGCGCGGAAACCAGGTTGATGGAGAAACTAAAGCCAGACAATGCCCTATGGGCGATAGCACAGGAAATAAAGTAAGCTGCAACAGAATGTATGTTTCAGTGTGAGACGCTTTTTGGAGGTGGTAGAGCTGGCTAAGAACCACTGGGATATGGGAGAGGGGTACCAGCTGGTCTGTCACTGCTAAGTCTCCTGGCTTCCCTGCTTCGCTCCGTGTCTGCCTAGCACTGTGTCCGGCACATAGTAGGTGCTCAGTAAATACTGGGCGGATGGATGGATGAATGACCGAGTGGTGGATTCAGTCCCAGGTGAGATGTTGGGTAGTGTCCTGGGTGGGACGCGGTGGGGACCGGGCCCTTGAGCCCGAGGAGGTGCCCAGGTGCCGGTGGCATGCCCTCGCTCCGTGAGGCCTCTCCCAGCCCTCCCCCCAGCACGTGTCTCTGGGTCAGGGGCTGCTCTGGCCTTCTCTGTCCCCCTCGGCGCCCCGCTCAGCGTCTGGCACAGAGGGGGTGCTCAATAAATACCCGTTGAATTTAACACATCTCAATTCAACAAACATTTATTGAGCGCCCGCCCACTGTGTTGAGTGTCACAATCCTACCTTCCTTGGGCGCGCTACGGATGGACGTCCCCGGGGTGCGGACCGGCAAGCCTAGCTGTGCACAAACCCTCTGTGCAGCAAGTTGTGCACGGATGGAGCTTGTGCTGACCGATGGGAGATCTGGGGGCCGCGTGGTGAGAGTCCAAGAAAGCCAAGAGAAGAGAGTGGGTGACACTCCACCCATGTGCCCCCACCCCACCTGGATCGCCTGTGAGGCCGGCAGGCAGCCAGGCTCGCCCGGTCCAGCACACCCAGCCACCGGGGTCCTGGCTGCTGTCCCCTATACCTCGGGACGCAAGGCGATGGCGTTGGGATGGAAATGAAAGCACAGGCACCACGAGAAGACAACGGTTAGCGGGGCTCCTGCTCAGAGGAACCAGGAGAAGCACCAGGGTCCCAGGAGAAAGCAGAGAAGGGCAGAGCCACAGCCACGGTCACACAGGCAGGCACCGGTGAGGGGAGAGACACAGATCTCCCGGGGGAATCACGAGGTCCAGCGTGGGCCCTTGGATCTCTGCAGCCAGGCGTCTGGGGCGGAAGCAGCTGCATACCCGCCTGCGTGTGCACGTGTAGTCTGTGATGGAATGCAACAGCGAGGGGGCGGGGCCCCAGTGAGCTCTTGTGGCTGGGCAGCTGGCCTACGGAGCCTCCTGGCACAGACTCTGGGCCCCACAGGACCTCCCCCTGCCAGGCTCAGGTGCCCGGGCAGCCACGGCGTTTGCAGTGCCCAGGGAGGGCACACACGCAGGTCCTGCGTGTCGAGCCAGGGGGCCTAGGGGCAACCCACCTCCAGCCTGGGCTCCTCCCACACGGCATCCTCCCCAGTCCTGAGCCACAGCAGGCCACAGATGTCAGTGGGAGCCTCAGGGCTGTGCTGGCCCCTCCGAGAGGGTCCGGGGGGCGGTCATGGACATGGCACCAGCCTTGCAGAGGGGGGCCTGCCCACCACCCAGTGGGGAAGCCCTGGGAACTGGACAGTGCCACCTGGGGGGCCCCAGTCACCCATTTCTTTTCTTTTTTTTTTTTTGAGTTGGAGTCTCACTCTGTTGCCCAGACTGGCGTGCAGCGGCCGCTCCCGGCCACCGCAGCCTCGACCCGCTGGGCTCCGGCGGTCCTTCCGCTTCAGCCTTCCGAGTAGCCGGAACTACAGGAGCGCGCTACCACGCCCGGCTAGTTTTTGATTTATTGTAGAGACGGGGTCTCGCCAAGTTGCCCGGGCGGGTCTCGAACCCGCGTGCTCAGGCAATCCACGCGCCTCGGCCTCCCAAAGTGCTGGGATGACAGGCTGAGCCACCGAGCCTGGCCCCACTTCTTAGTTTCTGGGGCTGAAGCCTCGATGCCAGGATACTGAGCAAGGGGGGTGGGCTGCTGGGGAAGCCAGCGATCTGGGGCAACAGGAGTTTCCCACCTTTTAAGACAGCGGCCACCAGGAACTAGTGACTGCAGAGCAAAAAGGCCCAGATCCAGGCCTCTGGTCCCCACCCGCAGGCAGGTACTGCATCTCCTGGGGGCAGGGACTTCCTGGGGCCTCAGGGAGGGGCTGGAGGTCTGGGGCATAGCCGCCCACAGGGGCACAGGCAGGTGTGTGTGGCCCAGTCCCATAGCCCTCTCGACCCACCTGTGGGTGGATGAGATGCTGGGAATCTCCCCCGGGCTCCCCCCGGGAGACATACCCCACCATCCAGCCCGGGTCTCTCTCCCTCGGGGGAGTGTCTTATTTTATTTTTCGGTGTGGCCTTCCCAGGGTGACATCAGCCTGGTGCACCAGCTCTGAGGTCCCGGAATTTAGGAAGCTGCACCCCAGGCAGGGGCAGAGGCACAAAGGAAGCACAGACACCTGGTCGCAAAGACCTCACACCAAACAATCCGCCTCTCTTGGTTTGAAGTTATTCTTTAACACAGCGCAATTTCCCAGATTCCATGTCTTCAGTCTTTCCCATCACACAGGCACACTTTCAACTTTCACTGGCAAGACAGTCTACGGTTTCTAGTCATGAGGATGAGGAAGAGGATGGAGAGGAGGTTCTGTTTACTGAGCGTCTACCATGGGCCGGGCAGAGCGCCATGCGCACACCTAGCCCCAGCCTCCTGACATCCTGGCAAGGCAGCTGGCGGGCCCATGGCCACATGGCTGGACGGGGGGGAGCTCAGATCTGAACTTGGGTCTGTCTCACTGCAAAGCCAAGACTTTGCCCTTGCTTTCTCCCCCTACGTCCACCTCCTCTTGGCTTCCGTTTTCCAGCTAAGCCCAAGCCCTGCCCGCAGAAAACACCGCCCCCCTAGTCTGGCCTAGACCCAAAGGCTGCCTCTGGGCGAGTCTGAGGGAGTCTGATCAACGCCTGCTGTGGGTTTTCACCCGGGATTCACAGCATCTTGAAGCAAACACTATCTGAAGTTTTCCCTACATCTGAAAATCACTCCTGATTCAGTCTTCACGACACCCCCAGAGTCAGGCCTGCGCCATCTTTGTCTCCCTGTAAAGTCTGAGCCACCATGTCCCCGGCTCTGCTGTACCTTGTTCAGGGTGAGTGACGGGGGACAGGACAATGCGGCCATCAGCTCTGAGTCCGGCCTCGGCCAGCTAGACCATGCCCGTGTCTGCTCTGGAGGGAACAGGCCCCGGCCCTCCCGCCGCAGCCAGGGCAGCCTTTCTCCCAAAACGCCCAGGGAGCCCAGGCCAGCCTTCCTTCTGTCGTCTTGCTGAGTGACTGTCCACAGGAAGCCAGCAGCAGCCACAGGCCGGGCTCTCTATCTAGCGGCCCCTGTGGCTGTCGTACCCAGAAGGCTTAGATTTGGGGGGCGGCTCGGGGTTTGGGGGCCCCTGTGCTGCGAGGCCTGCTGCGCACATCACAGCTGCTTCCTAAAAGAACCACTCACGTGAGCAAAAGTCGTCCCCTTGCATTCTTTGGAGAGAGTCTCTCTCGGTCCCGCTACAGTGGCCCAAGGACTGGCTGTCTCGGTCGGGAGAGTTGGTCCTCGTGTCTGCGTCCCCCTTGAGAATCAGCCAGCTGGCCTTCTGCTGAGGAAAAGAAAAAAGCCGTGTGAATGTCGAGGCCATCTGCAATGGCGGGAACATCTCACTGGAACCTTCTAAGTGGCTTCCTTACTTCTTTTGTTTTTCTGAGTTGGAGTCTCACTCCGTCACCCAGGCTGGAGTGCAGGGGCACGCTCCCGGCCACCGCAGCCTCGCCCTGCTGGGCTCCGGCGATCCTTCCGCCTCAGCCTTCCAAGGAGCCGGAACTACAGGCACGCATGACCGCGTAGGGCTAGTTTTTTGATTTATTGTAGAGACGAGGTCTGGCCAAGTTGCCCGGGCTAGTCGCGAACCCGCAGGCTCAGGCCATCCCCTTGCCTAGGCCTCCCAAAGTGCTGGGATGACAGGCTGAGCCACCAAGCCCAGCCTAGCTTCCTTACTTCTGACAGGCCGCCCCCACTGTGAGGAAACGCAGTGTGTAGAAAGCCAACTTCTAATAAGAATGTCCCCACTTAGGGTGACCTGTTCAGATACTCTACAGGCACAGGAAGCATTTGGGGGAATGGCACAGCTCCATTTTACAGAGGAGACCACTGAGACTCAGGGAGATGAGGGGTCCAGATGGCTGATGCTCGTGCGGTGAGGCTGCCCAAGTCAGCCTTGGGCTCTCTCCACATCCAACCCCGCCTTCTTTAAAGACCAGTGAGAGCCGGGCTCGGTGGCTCAGCCTGTCATCTCGAGCTTTGGGAGGCTGAGGGGAGTGGATTGCCTGAGCCCATGGGTTCGAGACCTGCCTGGGCAACTTGGCAAGACCTCATCTCTACAATACATCAAAAAATTAGCCGGGCATGGTGGCGTGCACCTGTAGTTCCAGCTACTCGGAAGGCTGAGGCGGAAGGATCGCCGGAGCCCAGCAGGTTGAGGCTGCGGTGGCTGGGAGCAGCCACTGCCCTCCAGTCTGGGTGACAGAGTGAGACTCCAACTCAAAAAAAAAGAAAAAAAAAAAGACCAGTGAGGGTGGCTGTGTTCGGTGGCTCAGCCTGTCATCCTAGCACTTTGTGGGGCCAAGGCTAGAAGATTGCCTGAGCCTGCAGTTTCGCGACCAGCCCAGACAACTTGGTGAGACCTCATCTCTACAATAAATAAAAAATGAGCCGGGTGTGATAGTAATGCACGTCTATCGTTCTGGCTCCTTGGAAGGCTGAGGCAAAAGGATCTCCGGAGCCCAGCAGGTCGAGGCTGCGGTGACCGGGAGTGGCCACTGCACTCCAGTCTGGGCGACAGAGTGAGACTGCAACTCAAAAAAAAAAAAAAAACAAGAAGATGGAGAGGAAAGGATCACTTGAGCCTAGCAGGTAGAGGTTGTGGTGGCTGGGAGCGTGCCCCTGCATTCCAGCCTGGGCGACAGAGTGAGAGGAGAGTCGGAGAAGGCGAAAACTCAGTTTTTAGGCCAAATCCTGCCGGCAGGCTGCTTTCGTAACTCAAGAGGGACTGAGCACAGAGGCCCAGTCATGCATGCCCCGCCTCTGGCAGCTTTCGGGGGTCATGTGATTGCATCACGGCAGGGGATGGGGTGGGGATTGGGGGGTGTGACGCAAGCCACCAGTGCTGACTCTGGCCTCCAGGAGAAGCGTCTGCTGAACCTGCCCTGGAGCAGCCATCCAAAGGCCCCAGGACGCCCCTTCTCCCGTTCTAGAGCCAGCACTGAGGTGCCCGGCCACCCCACCAGGACTCTGGGAGTGCGTGTGCATCCCCAAGTGGGGGGCCTCCCCTGAGCCCCACACGGCCCCAGGGAGCACTGCAAGAGAAGGATCTGGAGTTCCAACCAGAGAAGCCTCCCCCGGCCGGAGTTCTCTCCGAACAGGGCTGCTCTGTGTGGGACCTGCCCCAGCATTACCTTCCTGCTGTCCTGGTCGAAGCTTCCATCCTCTCCGTCAGACCGCCGCACGGCTGCAAGGGAAAAGTCCACGTGTGAAGGCAACACGCCGCTTGTTCTGGGCTTCTGTGCACAGTTCCCAGGTCACAATCACACTCAGAAAAGGAAACACAGCCAAAGGAAGGGCCACAGTCCGAGTGCCCTCAAGGGCCAAGGACCAGCCGAACTGGTAAGGTCCCGGGCCACTGCTGGGAAGTGGGAGCGTGGACAGCGTGAAATCAACAGCAGGCATGTGACGTGACGTCTAACTTCAGTTCTAGTCAAATACAGGCAGGGAAGTAGAGGCGCGTTTTTACATGCAGCTGTCTGGGCTTTTGGAGAACACACACATTTTAAAAGCCTTCCAAATGGAACTCCTTTCTTTTTCTTTTCTTTCTTTTTTTGAGTTGGAGTCTCACTCTGTCACCCAGACCAGAGTGCAGTGGCACGCTCCTGACCACCGCCGCTGCGACCTGCTGGGCTCTGGCGATCCTTCCCCCTCAGCCTTCCAAGTAATGGGAACTACAGGTACGCTCTACCACACCCAGCTAATTTTTGATTTTTATTGTAGAGATGAGGTCTCGCCAAGTTGCCCGGGTGGGTCCTGAACCCATGCACTGAGGCAATCCACTTGCCTCGGCCTCCCAAAGTGCTGGGATGACAGGCTGAGCCACCGAGCCCGGCCTCTTTTCTTTTTTTTGGAGCCAGGATCTCCCTCATCACTCTGGCTGGAGTGCAGTGGCACCTTCAGAGCTCACAGCAGCCTTGGACCTCCCACCTCAGCCTCCTGACTAGCTGGGACTACAGGTGCACATCACCATACCTGGCTACTTTTTTTAGTTTTTGTAGAGATGAGGCCTCACTCTGTTGCCCAGGCTGGTCTGCAACTTCTAGCCTCAAGCAATCGTCTCTCCTCGGCTTCCCAAAGTGCTAGAATTACAAGTGTGAGCAACCGTGCCTGGTCCCAACTCAAACTTTGAGGTAACCAAAGGCCTCGGTCACGAAGACCCTACTATGTGTAGGACACGGGCTGGGTGCTGTACATACATTACTGTTTAGTCCTACTCAGCCCTGAAAGAAGGGGTATCCCACCATTTCACAGATCGGAAGACTGAGACTCTGGGACATGGCAGAGGCCGAGTCCAGGTCCTCTGATTCCCAAGTCCCTCCCTGACTGCCCCACCTTGCTACCGGCCACTGCCAAAACACAGACCGGTGATGAGCTCGGCCACCAGAAGAATTCCACAAAGAGCGGTAAAGAAATGACACAATCCAACCAGAAACGAACCCAGGGAAACAGCAAGCAGAAGTCCACCTGCAGCAATTCCTCTGCCAAGCGTGCTACGTGGAACCGAGTGAGAATTGAGGCATCTGTAATCTCCATGTGCCTTTTAGGGGAGTTGTCCCTGGCTGGGCAGCCATTATTTCCAACCAAGAACGAGCAAATGCATCCCCTGGGGCGTGCTGACATTTCTTAGCATTCTGTGTAGTAGGCAAAGACCCACGTTCTGCATCCTGCTCTGCAACACCGACCCATGCACGGAACAATTAAACGCAAACCCGCCTCCTTCCCCAGCCCGCCAGGAAGACCCAGCCTCTGGAGGGATGCACCGAGGTGGGCTTCTTACCTGCAGCCTGTGGCGGGCTCGGGCCCGTCTGTCTCTTGGAGCACCCTGCCTCCTGCACCACCAAGGACAAGACTGATACCAGGCCAGAGAGCTTGGAAATTTGGGATTGGGCTACAGGACCTTGACAAGATAAGGCCAAAATGCGAGACTGAGCAGTTCTGTTCCAAATACGCGGACATCTCGTTACGCTCGATGGCTACCTGTTTCTCCGTCTTCCAGGAGAGATGGCGATTTTCAGCGTGAGCATAAAAAGCCCTGCTGTCTCAGGCACAGAGGCAAGTCCACGCCCAGCCGGCTCAAGGCACACTGTGATGGGGGGAGGCTGGAGCTCCCGGGCAGACGCATGCCCGGCAGCTGGGCTCTCCTGTTGCCCAGACAACAGCCGTCGCCGGGCAGCAGAGGCCTTGAGTGCGTGGCCATACATCAGCCATGACTCTTGGCAGCCGCCCAGCAAGCCCCAGGGACAAACAGGCCAGGGGCTACTTGAGCTCCAGAGCACAGCCGTGTCCCCGCCAGAGAAGGCCCTGTGGCTGGGTTTGCTGGAAAAACGAGGGAACCCAGCTCCTGAACGGCCAGGAGGCCTGGAAATGGGTTGCCACGCTTGGAAAAATCTGCAAGCACACAAACCATGGAGTGGCACCATCTGAAGGGCTCTTTGGGACGTGACATCCGGCCCTCAGAGTTCCAGCTGGGGGCCCGGAGGCTGCTTGGGCTTCAAGGATTTCCCACACTGTGCAGGACAGGTTGGCAGACACGTTCTGGTTGTAGAGCCAACCCAGGACTCAAAAACGGCCCCACTATCTAGACGGGTGTTCTGCCAAGACCGAACCAGCTTTCTCTGCCAGCCCCACCGGGTGTGCCCAACGGAACCAGACTTTTGGAACTAGGCTTCAGATTCTCTTGAGAACTAGGAGCTTGGGTAGGAAGATATAGGAGGCCGGCCCCTTGTATCATTGGCAGTTTGCTACCTTTGCAGTTCTGAGCCTCAGTTTCCTGATCTGTAAAATGAGCAAATGATGTCTACCCCTCCAAATTTGTGAGGATTGCATGGATAACTTATGTGAATGCTGGAACATGCTGGAGAACTCAGCATATAGGTTTGAAAAGTTAGGAATAAATAAGAGGCTAACCTTAAGGTTAATTTGTAGCATGCTGTTTTGTTTTGGCTTTTCTTTTGAGTTTGAGTCTCACTCTGTTGCCCAGGCTGGAGTGCAGCAGCACGCTCATGGCCACCCCAGTGTAGACCTGCTGGGCTCTGGCGATCCTTCTGCCTCAGCCTTCCAAGTAGCCAGGACTACAGACGCACGCTACCATGCCTGGCTAATTGTTTGATTTATTATAGAGATGAGGTCTTGCCAAGTTGCCCAGGCTCAAACCCATGGGCTCGGGCAATCCCCTCACCTTGGCCTCCCAGAGTGCTGAAATGACAGGCTTGAGCCACTGCGCCTGGCCTAGCATGCTGTTTTGGGATGTCAGGAAGACAGGTTAATTCAGGACAACCAGAGAAAGAGAGTACACTATGTCCTTTGCATGACCCCAGGCAGTTCCTCCTAAGTTCGAATGTGTCTACCGTGAGGAAGCCTCTTGGGAAAAGCTGGTTTTCGACTCCGTGTGTCCCTGGGGGAATCGTTGTGGGAAGCATCCCGATGAAAGTAACAGGCCCCACGTTTTCCTTCTGGGGACAGAACTGCCTGTCTTCCCTCCTTCCCGTCCCTACCTCCTCATTCACTCATCGCTGGCCACCCCTGCAAGCATCGCTTTCACCCGCTTATCCATTCCCACGCACTTACTCGTCCCCTCTGTTACCTGCCCAACCACCCACCCTCTTCTTTAACCATCCATTTACCCACCCACCCGCCAACCTGTCCATCCACCAGCTCATCCATCTGTCTAGCCACCCCTTCACCCATCCATTCCCCATCCACCCCCCCATCCAGCCCTCCGTCCGTCCACCACTCCTCATCTGTCCACCTACCTGTGCACCCATCACCTATCCCTCCACCATCCACCCATAATCCATCTATCCGTCCGCCCGTCCATCCACTCACCGTCTACCCATCCCTCCACCAGCCACCCCCACCATCCGTCCATCCCTCCCTTC